TTGTTGTTGTTGTTGTTGTTGTTGTTGTTGTTGTTGTTGTTGTTGTTCTCCAGCATTTGTATTGACTATGTTTGGTTGAGTGGTCGAAGCCTGGCTAACATTTGGTGTAATATTTTCAGCTGGCGAGCTTACCATCGGAGTATTTTGAACGGTAATAACCGATTTAACCGTTTGATGTTGCTGCTGCTGTTGTTGTTGCGGGCCCATAAATCGTTGCGACCGCGCAATCATACCAGGTGGTAGCGGTTGTCGGAATGTATTAACTGCATTCTGTTGCGGCTGTTGCTGCAAAAGGTCGCGCAATTGTCGATTATTCTCTTGTGATTGTGCTCCAGGCGATGAATATGGTGATGCGCTGTTTCGTGGCTGGATTTGACCTTGAATATCCGTTGGCTTGTGCATCGGTGTTCGCATATGCATATGACTTGCCGGGCTTTGGCCAGCACTCGCCGTTGGACTTTGGTGATCGAATGAACGAGGCGTTTGTGGAGACTGAAAGAAACACATTTTTTGGTTTTGTTGACGCAGAGAAGTAGACAAAATTCTATCTTTAAAGAGTAAATTTTTTAAGGTTACACTCACATTCAAATATGGATCTTGTGAACATTCTGACGATGGACGCGAAAACTGATCATGAGTACTAGTTACTGGTGACAATGGGAATTGATTGTGTGGCGATTGAGGCGTTTGCGATTGTGGCGAGAATGGACTTTGTACAATACGTTGTTGAATTTGACCTGGTCGTGGTATTTGAACCGAAACGGCTCGTTGCTGCAAATCAAGAGAGAGAGATAAAAGAACGATTCTAGTATGAAATTCAGAAAAAAAACTTTTAAAATGTTGTGATTCATTAGGTGAGTCCCATGAGATTCAGCGATTTTCTCTTTAAAAAATGAAATCTTTTTTCGAAGATTCTACCTGTCAAATGTTCTTTAATGTTCGAATAAAAACTTGGACAAAATACAAACCTGAGGCAATTGGAACTGTTGATTTGTGCCGGCTGGCATTCCGACCACCATTCGATGAGTTTTCTGGTGTGTCGCCGAAAATTGGCCACCCATATTGGCTGGTATATTTCTACAAAAAGAGAATAAATTAATCGTAAATGCGCTCGATTTCAAGGGAGAACATTTGTAGAAACATTTTTTCTTTCATCATTGGTGTTCAGTCGGTTGATGACTGGAAAAATATGGAAACTTTTATCTTACCTGTTGACAATCGTTCCATTGGCTGCGTCATTGGTATTGTTATTGTTATTATGATTAGCAGGGACTTGCATTTGATTTGGCGTTGGGTCGACTGCAATTAATTACAAACATGTAATAAAATTCAATAAAAAGTCCTTGATAATTCAATACTTGGTATTCATTTCAAGTTGATAAATTATTTTCCACGCAGATAAACATGGAAATGGTTGAAAATGAAAAAAAGCGCTTACCGTGCATCTTTTCAGGCATTGCTTGTATTTGTTGTATTTGCTGTTCGCGTGCAAGCCGTGCCTGTAATTGTTTCCATTGTCGTTCTTGCTCTTGTTGTCGAACATTTTTCTGATGAATGTCCATGCCGATCTTTTCTTGATCCTAGACGATAACAAAATAAAAAGTAGAAGAAAAAAACAGCAAAAAATGTATGTTAGTAAATGTGGTTCTGTTAATCAGGAGAAAAAAATCCAAAATGTCTGCTTGATCGAGTCGAATCGAGAGAGAAAACACCTTGTACATACAAATTCTAATAAATTCAAAATGATTGGCATTTGAACAAATAAAAAAAAATAATGGCACAAAGTCACTTAATCCATTAGCTTTTTGTTTATCGGAAAGAAAAAAAATGGTATGTTAATTGACTAAAACTAGTGTTTTACTACACAAATAAAGGCATGCAAAGTTAAGAATCGTCTGTATTTTCTTTGGGTTTTGATTATGACAATTGGATGAATTTTTTCGGGGAGAAGTTTTGGGTGGGTGGGGCGGTTTTTGGTGGTTAGTGATATTGTTCAGGATTTGTGAAACCATATAAAAATTAATCACAAATTAAATATCTCTAAATGATTTGACACATGCAAGCGAAAAATTCAAAAGCTTTGGGAGCACTCAAAAGCACTTAAATAAATACAAGAAATCCTCCGAATCGTTTAATTTTTTTCTATTTTCGTTAATTTTTTATAATTGTATCTGTTCTTTGTTTTGATTTATTTATGTTGTGACCAAAGTAGAGATGGATTGATATTCCTGTCGACGACCATCATTTCATCCGTCAATCGGTCAAAACTCGTTTTTTTTCTCCAAACTTCAATACGATCACATCGAAAGAAAAAAACACTGACAGAAATAAGTAAGTTTTTTTGTTGTTGTTTCTATTACGATTGATTAGCGAAACATAAAATTTTACGAACACACACAGCTTACAAAAATGACGAAAGAGAGAGAGAGAGAGAGAGAGAGAGAGAGAATAAAAACGTAACATTCGAAACGGCATCCTAGAGAAGAAGAAAAACAAAAATGACGCAAAAAAATCAACAGCTTGAAAACAGCCATTTAAAGTGCAAAAAAGCTCTTTTCTCGCGATGCTTCAACACGATTATGAGGCGAGTCAAAAAAAAATTGATATTAAGCTAATTCTATTAATTCGTCGATCTACGCACTGAAACAAAAAAAATTCTCTTTGAATTGATCAATCAAGAATACAATCAAAAATGAAACTAATTGCACGATCGATTGCAGCATTACAGCCCAAAAACATTGAAAGCCAAAAATGAATATCAAAAATAAACCAATTTCTGAACAAAGAAAACAAAAAACAAAACGCATCGAAAATCCAATAGTAAATTGTTAACAAAAATCATTGAACAACAAAAAAAATCTATCCCAACATTGGGTAACAAACGGAACAAATTCATTTATAGAAACAACTGAAACAGTTTTTTTTTTGGCTTTGAGTAGTACAAAAAAAATGTTACGCAAATTATTCGGGCTGAATTTGGGACACCGAATTTGTGTAACATTTCGTGTGTATGTTCAATGAGTTTGTCACCCCTCACCATTGTTAGTGCGGCGGCATTGGATGTGGACGATGGAGAAGAACAAGTGGACGAATGGGTTAGACTAGATGATTGTGACATATTAGTAAATGTGTTCCAATTTTGTGGCTCGCTTGGCTTCAGCTGCGTTGAACTGACAATGGGCGATGCAACTTCATCCATTTTCGATGTGACATTAATGATGTTGTTGATTTGCGTTTCAGGCATTTCCTCATCACCGCCACCGACGCCGCTTCCACTTTCGATTTTCTTTTGACTTCCGACGCTGTTGCCGCTGCTCGAATCGATTGCCGTACTGTCAACGGTATCTTTGCTGTTCTCATGTGAACTAGTGATGATGTTACGTCGACTTTTACACAATGCCGTCGAAAAATTGCTAGTTGCAGTTGATTCGTTGGATGTCATCTCATGATCGTGCAACGATGGAAGCGTTCGCATGATTTCGACGGGTGTCAACACACGAATGTGTTGATCATAGATCGTGTTTGTGCATGATGATGGCGGTGGTGGTTGTGCTATTGCTACGGTTGGTCCGGCATTCGAGCTAATTAAATTGATCGTTGATATTGATGAACGCGATGATGTGGTCGACGAAGATGACGATTGCGACAGATTCGATTTCATGGATGAACTGTCGTATGAATGTGTGCCGAAATTGGAGTCGGGTACGCGTTTTAATATGCGAATATTTTCGCCATTTTTATCGACAACCGTAACATTTGGCGCTGGGATGCGAGCCGATAGGCCGCTACCCGTTTGCATTTTATCGGCCGAATGATAAATGTGCTTCGATATAAACGTATTATTACTACTAGACGTAATCAATCCCGCCGATTGTTGAATTTTTCGCAATTCTACGCTTAAGTTAATAGGCAATGTACTAGAATTTACAGGATTTGGTTGCAATGTGTTCGATACGATTGTGCTAGTATTGTTAGAAGTGATAACTGATTTAACCGTTGTAACCGCGGCAACGGTGACAATCGGCGTTTTCGTTTCATTTATCGTTATTTGGTCGGCTTGATTCGACTCTTGTTTGTAGCTATGTTCAATGTCAATGTGATTGGTATGAGTGTTGGAGGAATTTTGTGAGTGTGTTGTGTCATTATTGGAGGTGAGGGTTTGATTTTGATTAGTTGGAACTGTGTTAGATGCACTAAGTACATTATTTGATTCAGTTAATTCATCCAATATGCTAGTTTTTCGTTGCGGCTGTTGCTGTTAATTGAACGGAAAACAAAGGGTGTGTGTGTTAAAAAGAAACCAAATCAGTTTGTTGTTGTTGTTTCAAACAAAGTCAACGACCATCTGGGCAATGCTCTCATGTCTGAACAGTCTCCGGAGAGCATTAACCGCACAATGGTTGTGTTAGGAAAAAGGACATCTATCACCACATAGAGGCAGAGAGAAAGAAAAATACAAAGTTTTTGGTGTTGTACAGTGTACACAACATCAATGTTTGCTCGTGAAGGCCTGTGAAATTGAGCTACATTTCGGGGATAGTTAATTATGTTTCTGGTCTTAGAATGAAGCCCAAATTCACAATTAAATTCGATGGCAAATCGAAATCTCTTCACGAGCAACTGATTCGGGCGCTGAGATAACCGCTTGGAAAATGACTGGCATTATTGGCCAGTGTTTATAAAAATCCGGCTATAATTGTTTCACACTTCGATTTGATTGGCCAAAACAATTCTCGCAAACACTTGTCATGCATATTTATGCTCGAATCGACATTTCGAAGGTGTGAGAGTGGCCGGGAAGGGCGATGGGGAGGTTAAGTGGAGCGCGGTGCGCGGTGCGCGCACGTGTGATTCGTGATCATTTTGGCAAATCAAATTGGAATGCGACAATGGATGTGAACGGCTACCTGTGTTGGTTGTGTCTGCATCGTTGGCAGTTGCTGCGTTGTCGACGTAGTAACCGAAATAATCTTATTACCAGGGATTTCACTTGTGGTTATCGCAAGGATTTTATTTTGAGTGACAGGAATTTCAGATTGTTGCATTGGTTGTGGTTGTGGTGGTGGTTGTGGTTGAGGTTGCGATTGCGGCCTATTAGCATCATTGCTGCTGGGTGATGTTTGCGGGGCCTAAATTTCAGGAGACACTTAATCCGTTTAGTGGCTGAACTTTCAATTTTCATTTTTTTTTTTTTTTGGTTTTTGGTTATGATTTTAAACAATGACTTTCTTTGGCATTTTCATATCTTCATTCATCAGCAGTACTCTCTTTATTCAATTTCATTTCAACAACAAAAAAATACGCGCGAAAATTGTAGCACAAAAACAATCCGTTTGCTGCATTGGATTTGGATATTGGTGCTCTGTCAGCCCTCAAGTAAACATTGTGTGCGAGTGAGTAAAGGGACATTGAGCGTTTCTTCTACTTTTATCGCTCGAAAATATGAAAGCAGAAACACTCACACAAGTAAAGCAAAATTCAGGGTACAATCTTTAGTTTTTGTTTGAACTGTTGCTGTTTCATTTTTGTTTTTTCTTGGTTGGTAAATGGCATTTGTTCATGAAAAATGATGTGTGGGTTGGTTGTGTGTGTATGTGAATATATATGAGTAAACACAAAGCGTATGGTTAGTTACAATATATCATTATTATCATCATTGAAATTGGAATGACAGGCAAAACATATATAAATGGTGAACATAAAGGTAGTTTACAAGCGGGGCGAGCGGGCTTATGAGTGGTAAATTTCGGTGTAAATTGATAAATATAATGAAATTGTTTGGGTTTTCGTTTCTCACTGTTGGATTCGTTCATTTGGTATGTGGATATTCTCATTTGAAACTAACGGAATAAATGTGTTTCGCATTCGGTTAATCACATTACAAGGTGGAACGAAACACGCAATTCATTTGGGCTTTGTTGGAATTTAACAGATTTAGAAATGAAATTTTTTTGCTTAGTTTCAACATTCCATCATCACGCTTCTCATAAATTTCAAATCAATTTGCCTCCAAAATAGGTAAACTCGATGAAAATAGTGCAGTTAACATGAAAACGATCACTCACCTGTTGCGACTTCTTCAAGCATGACCGATTCTCACGAGCTTTCTGTAAGTATGGCGCTTTTTGTTCCGTGGACAATGCACGCCACTTTTTCAGAATTTGCTTGTATCGTTCGGTCCAATTGGGATAATCGACCTTCAGTTCGGGATGATTTGTATTTGCATACAAAACGGCTGATATGGTCGCCAAACTCTCGAGCACTGTAACATTTTGAATAAAAGTAAAAATTGGAATTTAGAACATTTTTGGGGAGAAATAAGAATCAAATTCATTTAATTCAAACAAAATCAATTCGAAGTGAAACCCTCAATCACAATTACCTTCATCTTGGCGCATACGTTCGCACGATTTTGCGTTGTGAGTTTGTGCGCCAGCACCAGCGTTTGCCATGTTATCATCGACGGCCACGCCAGCTGTCATTTGGTCCATATTGGCATTAACATTAGCATTGTTCATGCTCGCATTGACATTCAGATTCACATTCACGTTAACATTGTTGGAAGGAAGACTTTGAGCAATATGTGGTTGATTCACATTCGGTGGTCGCACCACTTGTATTGTCTGTTTTTGTTGCGTTTGATGCTCGGTTTTGATGTCAATCTGTTGAATTGGATTCTGTATTTGGTTCATTTGGATACCTTGCGTTGGTGTCATCGTCAGTGTACGTTGCTGGTCTCCTTGCATTGGGCTATGAAAATCAGGCGGAAAAAAAGACACGAAAATATCAATAAAATTCATTACGCCAAACCAATTCTTTATCAAATCTTTAAAATTCGAAACGAAAGCCAAAAATCAGCAGAAGAAATAAACGTACCCAATTTTCTGTGTAATATTATTGTCAACTGGTGACGGTTGCATTGGCTCGATTTGAGATAGCGATTGCATTGTTTGGTTTAGTTGGGGTTGATTGGTTAAGGCTCTTTGGTTTAATTGCATCTGGATTGGTGGCGGCTGCTGCAACTGAACGGATTTTTCGATTGTTGCTTGTGGCGGAATAACAGTTTGTTGTTGCGATACGGTCACCGTTTGCATGTTAATTTGTTGATTAAGCGGCTCTGGCGCCTTTTTCTGTATGGAATTAACGACCATTGTTTGTACGGCATTAGCATGGATTGGAATTTGTTGCGGCTGTTGTTTCACAACATTCGCCTGAATATTTGGTGGTAGTTTGTTGATTTGTGGCTGCATTTGAGTATTTGGAACGGTTGTTCGTTGTACTTTCTGTGCTTCGTCGGGCAAAATGGTGTTCGTATCCATTTTGAAGTCAATATTATCCAGATTCAAGTCATTCAATTCGTGTTTGCGAACGACCACCTCCGAATTGACGGCTGGTAAATTGGATACATCGGTCATTTCGGTGTCTTGTTGTGTTGGATCCGTTTTTATGCCACTCATTCGGATCGTTGCATTTGGCGGAACATTTGAGATAATTGCTTTTGCTTGATTGACAGCTGCTGTTGTTGTGGTATTTGCAAGCGTTGGCGTCGCCGTCGGCGTCGTCGCTGTTGTAGATGGGACATTCTGTTTATTCTTCTCTTCCAGCAATTTCTGCTGTTTGAGCCGTTGTGCATTGAGAATGTTAATTTCTTCGGTGGACAATTGAATGGTTTTGTCTTCGGTCACACTGCTCTTTGCCTCATCATCGCTGCTGCTCGACTCGAATTTCGTTTTTGACACGGTCATTAGACTCTTACCGAAAAAGGCCTCTTGCAGATAGCTTGGATATGTGTCGGCCAATTTTGTCTTAACCTTTTTACGATTCTGTTTCTTCTTCAGTTCGGCCGTTGTTGTTGTGAAATGCAACGAACCGTCTGGCGTATCTTCGTTTTCGTCTTTGTTTGCACCGTCTTTGCGTACCGTACGATTCCGAACAACAAAACCACCGATTCCCAATTTTTGTAGGTTTCGTTGGCGTTTCTTGCGCAATACCGCGACTCCTTGTTCATTGGAGCCAATGGTAAATCCTTCTGGCGGGCTCAAATCTTTATCCCATATCATGCCATCTTTATAGATTTCGGCCTCTTCACGCGGATCAAGCGGCTCAACCTTAATATCTTCGAACGAATTATCCAAACTTCCGCCAGCTACCACCGATTCAATTGTTGCCATTATGCCTGCATCTTGTGGAGCTGGTGGCGCTTCGATTGGCAGTGCTTTTGTTTTTCGCTTCTTTCGCACGAGTTCCATTTGCAGGGATTTTATGTGCTGCATACCGGTATCACTGAGTGACACGCCATCGACCAGATGGCAACCGTCGAGTGGCGTTGGCGGTACCGAATCGAGCGCATCTTCAATGGACTTTGGGGTTGTTGGCGTGGTAATCGCTTTGGTATTCGTATTTATCGGTGATGGTTTCTTAACTGGTATCAAATGAGGTGGAAGTGCATCTTTTGGACGGCATAATAGACATTTGTAACCCTCTTCAATACAGCGTTCGGCCTCCTCTTCGTTTCGAATTTCGTCGCAGGCTGCATGCAGCCACCGTTCACAGTATGTACATTGAATCAAAAGCTCTCCATCGTTATAGGCGTACGTACAAAAGGCACATTGACTTTGACTAGCACACGGGCCGCATTCGGTGAAACTGTTTTGCCATGTACAATTCGTTCCCGGTGTATTCGAACCGCACTTTTGGCATAGGGCGCACCATTTGCATTTCCATGTGCCATCCGGCACAATGTCAAGCGGTGGATCCATGCAATAAATGTGATATGAGATGTCACAATCGTCGCACAGAATGAGTCTTGATTCGTCATGTTTCATGCCACAGCCTTCGCAAACCGTGCAGTCCAAACATCGCCAACCACGTTGCAGTATGACTTTGGTCACTTTTACAGTTACACAATACGGGTGATAGCATTGGCCGCATTGCAGGCACGATATCAAGCAACCTTCTTGATCGGTTCCGATGGCACCGCACATCACGCAAATGTCTTGCGTCAGCACGAATTTATCTTTGGCCGAGCACAGTACCAGGCGATTCTCCACACCGGGCTCTTCGTCGGCTTTGTTATTTGCATCGGATGTTGGACGTTGCAATCCTAAACCAGGTACACCAAATACACCGCGCATTTTCGCTTTTGGTCCACGTTTTCGGCCAAATTCGGCGGTACGTTGCTTCTTTTGGAAGGAGAATTTGCCACCACCTTTGGGCCGACCCACCACACCGGGCGGACGCTTTTTTGCGATCATTTTATTGGCCGACAACGGTTTACCTTTGCCCAAACCGAAATCCGACGGATATTTGTCGGACGATTCGGAAGCTGAGATTGATGCCATCGACACATTGTCTGAGTGATCGTCACCGCCACCGCCGCACAAACTCTCCTGTGACGCCGACATACTGTCGTCCTCGACATTGTTATTTCGTCGCAATGCATTGATGCGACCATTTTGAACTAAGGTTTTACATGGTGGACACGTATATTCATACTCGGGATTTGCCTCCTTTTTCGCATGATATGTGGTTAGACTTGCTTCTGCATCGCAATCACTATGAACAAATTTATTGCACAGACTGCATTTGACCATCTCTCGATAAGCAGCCGCTCGATAAGCTCTTTGACAAATTGGACATGAGAATCCTTTGTTTCTTTGCTGATAGCATGAGTCGCACACGGTGTAGTGCGCATGCCATCGAGATGAAGTTCCAGCGCCTGGCGTTCGTGATCCGCAGTCGGAACACACTCTACAGCACTGAAGATTGCACAGGGGATAGACACACACACACAGAGAGAGAGAGAGAGAGAGGGGAGAGAGACAAAGCAAATGACAATGATTATGTTTTAGTCGATGATATCAACGATTTATTGCTGTTGGCAGCAATCAAACGAAATGACTCCATTCGGAATGGGAAACGAAAAGAAAAATGCAGCAGTCATAAAGTGTGTATATATTGTACTTACTCGGCACTTCCATCCGTATTTTGGTATTGAAGTCATAACTGGTCGTAAACAATTAGCGTGATACATTTTATCACATTGTTCACAACACAGCGAACGTCCATCGGCTTGTTTAGCATCAGGTACACGACATATTTGACATCTACGGCACGACTTGCATTGCCAGCCAGCCCGAACGCCCGGCAACTGTGCAACACCAATGCACGGCCCATGATAATGATCGCCACATAACGAGCATATCATTAAATTCGACACATCGCCCAAACCACTGCACACACGACAATTTATATCCTCTATATCATTATATACTAATGGCACTTGACCTAAATGTTCTTTACAAAATGCCGTGAAATTTTGTATGATTTGAAAGCCACCCGATGCGGCCACGCACGGCAAGTGAAAATATTTCGGGCATGACATCTTACACGCCATATGCGCACCGTATCGATTACAAAATGAACACTTGCGTGTCAAACTCTGTGACACCACCTCGTCAACATTTTCGAAAACGCCGGTCGTAAGATCTTTGGTGATTCCCATTGACCATAAAGCACATGTGCGATGAATGTAGAAGTAGCCACCATCAATTAAGCTCGAAAATTCAACAATCTCCGGATAACCGATTTTCTCTAGTTCGTCAACATATTCCGTTGTTAGCACGGGATTTCTAGCGAATCAAATACAAACATTGCATTGAAATGAATGAGATTGATGGAATTTTAGAGTGTGTTTGCATTGCATTTGTTCGACCGGTGCGATACTCACTTGCATTTATTAAGACCCTTCTGACGCCGATTACTTAGTTGTGTTTGAGCATTTAACGCGCTGCGTGGATTTTTCTCTTCTTCTTGATTCATTTGTGACGAATCCAGAATTGGTGTTGATGGTGTTGTTGATTTTGGTTCACATTCCGTTACTTCGATTCGTAACATTTCGCCTTGTCCCATTTGACTACGTTCGCCTAAACAGCATAATGCACACACTTTACCCGGCCACTTTTCTGGAAAATACGGCAATTCTTCTGGCGGTTGCATCACTTTCTCTCCACTGCTAACATTATTCGTGGTTGTCGACGTGCTTACAGCAACGACTGAAGCTGAAACAAATGTGAAAAACGTGGAAAAATCAGATGTGTCTTGGCAGATTGTTTATGAAAAAATGAACATGATCATCCGTTTTGGTGACCATCAACTCACCAGCTGGTCGTTGCTGCATGTCTTTTTGCAGATCATAAACCGACTGATCTGTTTCCATTGCAACACTTGTCGTCGACGTTAAACTATTACTACCGTCATCGTTGAGAGGTGACAGTAACATTACATTAGACATAAAACTATTATTTTCCTGAGTCGTTACTGATGCTGTAGTTGCGTTTGTATTCGCTAAATTCGGAAAATCAAACATGAAATGTTAGTGGTGTCTATTTTGAAAAATTGTGCCGGATAATACTGGAAATGATTGAAGCAAAGGGGAATAGTTACCTGTTGCTTTCGATCCTCCAGCTGTGTGATTACGTCGCATGGGTTTAGGTACACGGCCGCTGATTTCATCGCATGCACGTTTTACGATACGATTGTTGGCGCCACCACCTCTTCGTGGTGCTTTCGCTGTTGTTACATGCAATGGGAAATCTTTTCGCGGCCTGCCTGGTCCCCTTTTATGTGGCCTCCCTCCGTTCTGCAAGTAAAAATGTGCCACAAATTAGCAAAAAAGAGAGAATGTTTTCAGTTGAAAATTGAAAAAAAAAATAAATAAAATGATTTCAACTCACTGTTGTTGGTTTTATCGTAATTAATTGACCGTTACTGTTTGAATTATCGCCTGTGTTGTGACTGTGAATGCCACTGGAATAAAAAATGTTTTGCGGATTTGGTGAAATTGACGATTCTTCACCTAAGAATGGGGACGATGACTCTGTTCCTGTTGGTACCAGCGCAGAGAAAAAAAAACCAATCATTTACTTCAAAATGTACATGCAAATTTATTTCATAGTATGATGAAAACGGTGAATTATTTTTCTATTGGTTTTATGGTGTGAGTGTGCGTCTTGTGTCATTTGTTGTATCGTACAAATCACAAACATACACGTACAAGCGCCAAAGCAGTTGCATTCAAATAAATTTTTAAAGCAATTTTTTACTTCATGCTCAAATCAAAATTTGCATCATACTTAATGTCACAAAAAAATCTAACTAAAGCGATGCAGTTGACATAACGCAGCCCATTCCAACGGGTAAAAAGTGCCCAATTTTGACTTCGTCGTGTTCCGAAGAAGAAGCAAAATAAATGAATTTCGAAGCCTTCACTTTCGAACCAATTACTTTCTGATCGGGAATGCACTGTGTTAACTAATCGCATCAAAATTGAATTCACGCATCGCAAAAAGGAAAACACAAACATTAAAATGATTGATACCAGTGACGAAATTGAAATGAAAGAAAAAATAAATTAAATTAAATTATTACACTAAAACTCATTGAAATTAACTAAAAAAAATCAATATACACGGTTTGTTAACCATGTTTGTCTAGAAAAAAAGTGTTCACTACACACAGAAAGTATAAGAGCGAATATTAGAATTATTCTCTAGTCCATTTTGATTACTTGAAATGTCATTGTCGCATTGCTTGACATACGCTTAAATGTCAACACAAAAAAATGAGTTTGTCAATTTTAGTAAATTGAGCTAGCTGTCAACGAAATGGTAAGACTGGTTATTTTGTATTTTGTTTCTGTTGCCGTTGGAAAACACAAAAAAGAGTCGCACCAAAAATTGTGTGTGTTTTATTTTTCTTCGTTGATTTAGTTTGATGAGTAAAAGGAAATAGCGAAAAATTCAGGACCTCCGGACGTGTATTATGTGTATCGAAGGTGAACTGAAATCTGACGGGCGACACATGCAATTGATTTGGTTAAATAGTAAATGCATTTTAAATTGAACCTATTAACCCCTTACGATGAAGGGTCACTATTTCCCATCGAAGTTTCTTTTAATGTTTTTTTTTTCTGTTTCAAATGTGGTAATGAGAATGAAACTGTGATTGATTATGCAGTTAGGCTGTTTTTTTTTTATTTCGAACACTATTAACGCACTTTTTCATTTAAAATGTAATATTTGAAAAAAAAGGAACACGTAAATTCATCACTGTGCGTATGATGTGTGGTTGGCTTTAAAATCTAAGTCTTACGTGAAATCGGATGATTTGGCGTTGAACTGTTTAAAAAATCAAATTCGTTATCTCCGTCATCGGATCCATCGTCATAGTCATCGTCGATTGTAACTTCTTGAATATCCATATTTAATTTGATTGGTTCTTTATCTCTGTTACTGTTAAACTATTTGATTCAAGATCGTATTTTTTGTTTGTTTGTTTCGCGTGTGTAAAAAAAGAAAGAATTGCGTTGGTGCGCACCCTTGCAACACTTGCAATTTTCTTGTTTTGTTTTGGGATTCTAATCGAAATTTAATTTGGCCATTTTCAATTGATTTTTGCTGTTCGGAATGAAAAAGATCAACAATATGAATTTAAGATGGTAGCGGCTAAATTGTGTTGTGAAAGTGGTCACATTGATCAAATGATTGTTATATCAGAGTGCGCGATTTTTTTTTTTTTCAATTTCTGTTGGTTACTTCACAATTCGGCAATGGACGAAAGAATCAAATTTCTTTTGCTTGGACAATGCGTTTGGCGCCCAATCAGGCTTATCCAACGAATACACACATGATGGTTATTTGCTCTTTATTTTTTTGCATCAACATTGCACCAAAATTAATCGAAGGAACTAAATGAATTAAAAGGATGATTTCCAATTTTAAAACAAACATAATTGTTCATTCACCGGGACAAAACTTATTTGATCAATTTTGAGAGAAAAAGAAACAGAACAGAAACATACAGCATTACATTTACCACACAAAAACAAGTACAAACACGAGCACACACAGTTCTAAATGTCTAAATCTACGGGTATATTTTGGTTCCATTCACAAGAAATTAAAACGAACTATTCAACAAATTGTTATGGTTGTGTTAAAAGATCAAGACAATATATATCTAAGGTGGCGCACAAAAACGAATCAAATGGAAAATAAAACGGGAATATCAAAGCAGATATCAACAATGGGATAACAGTTTGCCTAATTTTTTGGTTCTCTGTTATGTTGAGGATTATCCTCTGCAACAGATTAACTACAATTATTGTGTTTTTTGTTTGGTATGTGTGTGTGTGATTCACAATTATCAAATGGTTGACACACGGATTTCACACGTTAAAACAAAACCCAAAAACGAAAATAATTTGCAATAAACAGAAAATAAAATTTTTGTTCGATTGAAATAAAATGTTGGTGAACATTTACAGACAAATACATTCAAATGAAACGAACAAAAACAAGGCATTGGAAGAAAAATTGCGAACTGTACCGATGAATATGAGAGTGAGTTGAGGTTCATGTGTTTTATTCAAGAAAGAAATGTGTTAAACTGCACGGCGGCCGCTACAAAAACAGTCATAGTCGAAAAAGTAACAACAATCGTAATACGTGATGCTAATCTCCTTTTTGCTCTTGTAATGATACACTTTTTTGGCTTTTCGATCTAACTTTTTGTTTTGTGTTGCAGAAATTTTGTTGTCACACCGACTTTCTGTATAGTAATAGACGAAAAAAAATGATATTGTCTTAATAACGACAACAATAACAACAACAACAACAATAAATTCACTATGCAATTTGTTTTACTGATCGGTAAGGAACACACACGCCGAATTTCCCTAGCCTACACAATGTCGACAACGAGGAAAAAGAATAACAACAGAACGTTTGAAATAATTTTCCCTTGATTTTGATTTCAGTACAGGGCTTCATTCTATTTTTTTATCGCTTTCAATTGGTGTTTTCGTTTTTTTTTTCTGTAATTCCACCGTGTCATTCATTTAAACCACACATTACGCACATTTTGAATACATGCATTGCATCGACATTTCACTGAACTGTTTCTAGTTTGGAACGACATAAAAGCGAAACAAAAAAAAAATAACATTATGGAAACGAAAATCAGTGGTTTCACGATTTTAAAACGATATTTAGAACAACTGTATGGTTTCACATGAATTCACATTTTTCGACTGTTGGTCTTTTTTCTCTTGCTTTTCCGTTCTTTATTTCGGTTTTCTCTCTCAATTTGTTTCGTTGTTCTCGTTTCAAACCAGAAAAAAATTCAACAATTTGCTGCTTACATTTTATGGATTGAAAATGAACAATTAACAACAGAAAAATGAAGAAAAACCATTTTATGGACAAAATTTGTTGAACTAGGCTGGTTCAATTTTGGATTTTTTTTTTGGTGAGAAAATGCTGACTTCGTTTTGGATTTGGTTGCGCGTTTTCACTTTATATGCCGATAGATATCGACGATCGGACTATGGTATCGACAATAAACAATTTTTATGTAAATATTTGACAGGAATTAATGCATGAAATAAGTTGCATTTTGAACATTTTCCTGTCGTTCGTTTGAGTGAGGATTCGTCTTTTTATTTTATTTTATTTTATATATATATTTCTTCGTATTTTTTTTATTGTGTGTAATTTCGTCAACGACACACAGTGTGTGCACTGTGTGGTGAATAGTGTATGTTTCTTTGTATGTGTGTTTTTGTATAAAATTGTTTTTGTGTATCTCTCGCTCGCGACTCGAATTTTTTTTTTAATTATTATTGTTATTATTTTTATTCTTATTACTATTATTACGATTTTGTTCCCGTCATTTTCTTTGGATTCGAGAATTACAGCGAGATTTAAAATTTTCTACGTATGACATTTGTGAAATTGTTGCGATGCATTTTCCTAGTTATTAGCACACAATTCATTTTTCGTTGTCTCAAACATATCGCTCATTTCATTTCGCCTCGAACACGGCGACCATACACACAGATCAGTATTAAATTTTTCTTTTGTATGTACTCGAATCCATTATTTTTGATTCACGGCGGCCATTGTTGAATTCTGTGATAAAAAAAAAACCTCTTTTTCTGTTAGGTTTGCTCTCGCTCACACACATTCACACGCACACACTGACACATGCACACATACACGTACATTCTCTGCGCTCTATGTGCTGCTTGCTTGATGTTGCTGTTTTTCCAAATATATTATTCTCGTTCTGTAAATCCCGAAAAATTGTCCCTCGGTTTTCTTCAAATGCACTACATTACCAATACCGTTTTTTCGGTTGGTAAATCGACCAAATCAAAATCACCAATCGCACATTTCATTCACACTTTATTTGCTTGTAATTCTTTTTTTTCGTTTTTTAATTTCCATTGCTACTATGTGTGTATATCGTTTATTCAAAGAAATCTTTTTCTTCTTTCGTATCGCAAACAAATCGATTGTGTGTATTCCTTGTAATTTTTTTTTCCTTCTTTCGTTCGCTGTTACAATTCGTTTTTTTCTTCTTTCTTTTGTTTGATTTTTTTAGAATGAGAACGGCAAATTTATTTACTATTTCACTTTGAAATTATTCGCTAGGGTAAAAAAAGTTATCACTTTTAATACTTAAATACAAAAAAAAAATAATAAAGTTTTCTTTCTAATTTGTTAAAAAAAGAAGAGAGAAAAAAACTAACAAATATACATGTTTCAATAGTCGACTAACACACTTTCGCATTTCGTACGAACATGGATGTTGTCGTTCTATGCATTTTTAGTACACAACGAGTATTGTATATGGCGTTCGCACACCACCAACACCAACACATGCGGAAGCAGACATACAAACATCATCATCATCTATTCGCAGCACCACCAGTTTCAATACATGCACACGCGCACGCACGCAGGCACACATACACAAACGTAGTGACACAGCAATGGCACACCATTCCATCAAAACTCAACCGGTCCGATTCGATGGCTGCGTTCAATGGCCCATTCGGATCAGATTCTTTTTCCCTGTACTATATATTCACAGCCAATCGACACGCTCATGGCTGTGTGTATGCGTTTGGCTTTTCGGTTTGCGTTTTCTTTCCCTGTAATTCGATGGATCTTTTTCATTGGCCAGCCCAAATCTGCTTCCATATTGAATTGAACATGACAATTTGATCCAATTCAAGCTCGATCCTTCAAAGTCTAATTCTAAAATCTATCCAAAACTTCCCTCCATACTATTGGATGAGGCATGCAATTTATGTTTGAAATGATGAAATTTGTTAATTAAACGAGATTGTCAAAAATTCTGATTTTTTGCCGGTAAAAGATTGAATCAATTTCAATTCGAATTATTTTAAATATTGTCGTTCATGGAGCGACGGTCAAAACCGCAAACACTTTTAAGAGATTTTTGTGATCAAAAAATAAAATTAAAAGAAACAAAAGAAAGAAAAAGAGAAAATAAAAACATAATCCATTACCATTGGTTGTAACATGGGGCAATCCGTTGATTATATATACAAATATAATTAACGTAAATGTGCGGTTCGTTTTGGTTCTAAAAACGAAGTCGAAATGTCTTTTGAATCTGGAAAAAAGCACAAATTAATTGGCGCGCCAACAGGTTTATGCGAATAGTACACTATCGAATACATGTGAACGAATCGAAATCAACACATGCCAAACTGTGTGCACAGGCAGACACGAAACTGCACACGAATATTTATTTCGTACGTTTTTTTCTCTTCTCTTCCTTCAACCAAATGTCAGAATCACACTCGCATTCTCCCAATTCATTATTTCGGCAATGTTTTCTATATCTATAATACTGCCCGTGTATCTCCGGTGTTGGTTTTCGTGTTGTAGATTCGATTGGTTGGTGCAAACGCGCGCGCGAGACACACACACACGCGCATACGGTGTACTGGTTGCACGGTTTGCGTAAGTATGTGTATGGTCCCGAAGAAGCGCTCCCATACAAATGCACCACAACAATGACAATTCGTTGACATATACCACGATGGAGTGGTCGTCACATGCATTTTCTTGTAAACAATTACACAGCAGAATATTCAATGCGGAAAAAGGCCGCATTGAACGCAACCATCCAAGCTACACCGACACACTGTTTTGTTCTAAATCTGAACATGAAATTAGAACAAAACCCAATATACACGATCGCTTGATTCGGTGCAGTTTTAATTGACTAATTACTTGGGGGGTTTGGCTCAATATATTGACAGCGATTAAAATTTAAATGAAAAAAAAATTGAGAATTTCCAAGATTATAAAAAAATCCGAATTTATTAGCGGAAAATGAGTTGAACGGTAGCAGGTTTCAATCTCATTCAAGCATTTTGAATGGTTTGCAATTCATGATTTTCGTTTACATTGGAAAGAGCAAAATGATTTCAGGAATTATGAGAAAAGAAAATTCGACAATTCAAATGCAAAGAGCATGATTGAATAGAAGGTGTTATTCAGCGGGAGGGAAAAACAATCGAAATTTAAAACGGCAAACAATTCTAATCCTCATAATGATTGTTGCTGTTCACGGTTGTTGCCGACAACAACGACGACGACGATTTTGTGCACCAACATCGTATGTGGTGTCGGTTCAGTAGTGGCCCGAACTGGTCCCGAACACGACTTTGACGTTTGCATCGTTACGCGTTTTCATGTCGATTTGTCTCTCTTTCTCTCGTTCTCGCGTGCGCTCCCTTTCTCCCTGCTTCTCTTACTCTCTACTTGTGTATATGTCATCGATATTGCCGCAAATCGCACTCAACTTTCGATATTCCGTGTAGCTGCCACATGTTTATCACTGAAACAAGAGCTGAAACAATTTTAAAGTTTTAAATTCTGTTTGTGTTACATTCTAAGGTAAAAATTAAATCATAGCGCATTTATGAGGTGCTTTTAGAAATTGCACTTGTGCGAAACGTGTCTGAAAATTGGTCACAATGGTTCGGTTCGGTTTGGAATTTCGTTACGGTTAGTGCAAATTCATTAAACCAAAGTTCATAACCTATATCTCAATCACATCACTCTCTATTTTTTGTGTGTTGAATGAATTTTATTTGTGAACTATCAACCGATACCGATTGACGTTTCCGATGCATTTTCGCGTAGCAAATCATTTGCACCATCTGCCGAACAAATTAATGCGACTGAGAACTAATTGAATTTTATTTATTGAATCCATTTCCATATGCATTTGATCCATTTTCCAGAGCCGAGGCAAAACAAACGTATACAAAATGGTTGTACTGAGTTGTAGATTTTACAAAGAAAAATACCCAGAGGTGAGTGTCGTCCCTTGTCGGCTTTTCTTTCGAAGGGAAGCATACGAATCTCATTCAATGATTGAACAAATTAGGCAACAATTCAAACGATTGTGAAATCAATGAGCCGGTGAATGTGTTTTTTTTCTCTCTCTCTCTTTTCGTGACAGGTTGACGATGTGGTCATGGTCAACGTGCGTGCAATCGCCGAAATGGGCGCATACGTTTATCTGTTGGAATACAATAATATCGAAGGTATGATCCTGTTATCGGAATTGTCAAGACGTCGTATCCGTTCGATAAACAAATTGATTCGTGTGGGCAAAACAGAACCGGTAGTCGTTATTCGTGTTGACAAGGAAAAGGGTAAGCATTCATCATGCAAGCAAGAATTCGATCGAAATTTTGAATAGAAATCAATTCAATTTCAAACAGAAATCGATTGATTTTTCGATCAAAAGCCCAATCGCATCAAATTCTAATGGCCACTCTCTCTCTCTCTCTCTCTCTCTCTCTCTCTCTCTCTCTCTCTCT